GTGGAAAATGCTCATTTCTCAGTTTTGTGAGCAAACACAACAACATTTCCCATACCATATTAATCAGGATGACATACAATGCTGGTTTTGTCTCAGTTTAAATCATTAAAATAAACTAAAACAACTAAAAATCAAGATATTTATTTTAATTCACCCTGTCAAACTGCTTTTTTGTTGTTGTTTTTGTCTCGAAAATCCTAGACATATGATGAAGCCTCATTATAAAAGTGTGAATTCTAAAGAGTAAATGAATACAACTTTATAATTTCATGGGCATTTTTATGTCAAGCTCTAAAAGGGTAGAAGGTAACACATTAAATGCAGTTTAACCAAATGACACAAGTCAGTTTTTATAGTATAAGAGAGTTCAGGTTGGCGTCAGAAATGCTTTCTTAAATGACAGCACAGACAGACTGATATTGTGATGTTAAAGGTGCATGACCTGTATTTTATCCAGGACTCCAGTGCTGTCCATCCGGCTGGCCACATTAACCGTGTTTCCCCAGATGTCATACTGAGGTTTATGAGCGCCGATGACGCCTGCGATCACAGGACCGTGATTTATCCCTGAACACAACACAACACCAAACGAAAGTCAGAGTTACGGTAGATAAATACGATTTTACAATGTTTTCAAAAGCAGTCTCTTCTGCACACCGAGACTGCATTTATTGGATCAAAATTCCAGTAAATACACTAAAATAGTTTTACAAATTAAAATAACTGTTTTCTATGTGAATATCTGTTAGAATGTAATGTATTGCTCTGTATTTTCAGCATCATTACTCCAGTCTTCAGTGTCACATGATCTTCAGAAATCATTCTAATATGCTGATTTGCTGCTCGAGAAACATTTCTGATTATTATCAATGTTGAACACAGTCGTGCTGCACAATATTTTTGTGGAAACCGTGATGCATTTTATTTTTCAGGATTCACAGATGAACAGAAAGTTCAAAAGAGCAGCATTTATTTGAAATGGAAATCTTTTGTAACATTATGAATGTCTTTACTGTCACTTTTCATCGATTTAATGCGTCCTTGATGAAAAAATATTAATTTAATGTTTCTTGAGCAGCAAATCAGCATATTACAATGATTTCTGAAGATCATGTGACACTGAAGACTGGAGTAATGATGCTGAAAATACAGCTGCGCGAAAAATTGAAGGGGGTCTGAATACTTTCCGTACCCACTGTATGTAGAGCATGTCCTGTAAAGCACACACACAGCAGCCGTACCCGTCTCTCCTCTGCTTTGGCAGCTTTGGTCAGTCCAGCCGCTGCCATGTAGGTGCTGCCGATGGTCTTGATCTTTTCCACGGCGCTGAACTTGGGCTTGTTTAGGAGCTGCGAGAGAAGATTAGGAGGCAGGTGGGTTAAAACGACCACAAACGGACGGACAAACAGACATCGGACGGACATCCACCTCGTCAAAGTCTGAAATGATTTCGTTGAGGAAGCGAAGGCACTCCAGGCCGTCGTTGTTGACGCTGCTCTCGTTGTAAAACTCCTTGAAGAAATGCGGCACTGATGCGAACATCACGCAAACACACTCGCACGACTTACTGTACAAGTCCTGAAACACACACACACACACACACACACATCAGTGCTATCACAGAAAACTAACTCACATCATTTATGTCTTGTATAGTCTGATATAGTGAGAATATAGAGGAAAAAACAACTTATTCAGAGACTCAAACTGAGCAAAAATCTGCAATTTGCTGCAGATGCTGATGTTTATATGATGAAATCAATGAGATCTTTATAACAGTGCAGCAGACACTGACATAAAATGATCTAAATATCAGTGGTCGCTCTATATCTCCAGTAATCTGTCTCAGTGAGATGAGAGTGAAATGCTCCAAACATATAATGCAGTGATTGAGAGCTGAAGAAATAAAGGCTCCTCAGAAGATGTGAGATGTTCTGGAGGCTTGTGAAGATCATTCCTCCGCTGAGGAACAGTGAAAGTAAAGCTTCTGGAAACAAACGCTCCTCAAAAGATCCTGAGGATCAGATTTGAGACTCTAAAACTGCAGTTATTCTGACCTTTACTTGATCAAAATCAGTCAAGATTTGACACGAGAAGCGTTTCTACAATTACACTGAAATAGCTTTGACTGGATAAAACACTCTAAACTCTCAATCAGAGACAGAAGACGTGAGGAGATCGAGTGAAACTGATTTAACAGCACATATAGAGGCCGTTATGTATCAGATATGCTACAGTAGTGCTATAGGGTTAACATCCGTCCATTCAGAGACGTTAATGAAGGATGTGAATATGCCTCTAGGTGGCGCAGCGGAGTCAAAGTGTTTGACCTGGTTCTGGATGTCTTTGCCGATGAAGAAGTCTGTGACGTGCTCCGGCAGAAGGTTCTGCAGCA